GCTCACAGCTGTCTCAAGGAAGATGAATCAGGTGGAATGACGCTGCCAGACTGGAAGAGCATGGAAGGGCCACTCCGTGGGGTCCAGCCCCCTCTGCAGGGGGCATTTGGGAGACGAGTCACCAGCAGAACACCCCCTAGGGAGCGCCCAGCACCATGCGAGGTGCTGTTTCCTCCACCACTGCATTAAATTCCCACCACCTCCCCTGGAGTTTGCATGGGGCTATGTGGTTCCAGAGAGGGCCAATCACTTGTCCAAAATCACACAGCACTTCGGGTGCAGGGTCAGGATTTCAAGATGTGTCCTAGTCCCAGGCTTTGCGGCTCAGCCATCCTGGGTGAGGACTGGTAGCAGGCACGGAAGAAGTGGGGCAGGCAGGCTGGGTGGCTGAGTCCCTGGTGCCTTCAGAGGCCAAGCTCTCAACATCCTCCTGGGGTGGTCCTTCCGTGGCTAGAAAGAGGAGCTCTGATGGGAGGAGGCCTGCCTTTGAACCTTTGATGCTCTTACTCTGTGGACCCCTGGGGAAAGCCTGAGTCATCTGCCGGCAAACATATTTAGCTCCTTTTATTGTCCCTAATAAATCAGCTTCTCCAGGCTTCTCACACCTGCCGCTTGACTCTGGGCTGCACCCACTGCCCCAGCTCCTGTCCCCCCGGCACCCCGGCCACAGGGCCCCAGTGCCAGATCTGGGTTATCAGGGCTCCAAAGGGGGTTCTCCCACTTTCCGGGGACCTAGCAGAGGTCCTCTGTGCCTGCTCAGCACCCTTGCCTTCTCCTGCTCCATCCAAGGCGTTGGTCCTGTCTGCCTCTGGGCTGGGCTGGCCTCTTTTCAGCAGCCAGAGAGCTTCTGAGTGTCCCAGGCAAGGCTCTGTGCTGGCAGTGCTTCAGGGATGAAGAGTGACACCAGGGCCCAGCCCCTTCCACCTGTCCTGTCGTCCTCTCGGCCCTCCATGGCCTTGGCCTGCCCTGAGCCTTGTGTGTAGGGCCCAAGGATGTCTCAGAAAGACCTCTTTCTATTCTACTTCCTTGTCTTGGCTTCTATTGGCCCTTTTGGCTGGAAGGCCCAGGCTATCCCTTAGCTGATCTTTCATGGGCACCTCTTCCAAGAAGCCTTCATAAATCTTTAACCTGTACATGACTCTTTCCTCCCCTGATGACCCTAGGCTGTCTTGTATGTCCATGCAAGCACACACACAGCCTGTCTTATAATAACAGTGAGCACTTACACAAGCCCGAGTAGATGCCCAGCACTGTCCTAAAGACTGTATGTATTTAATATTCCCATTTCACAGACGGGAAAGCTGAGTGCAGAGAGCTAATGAAACTTGCTTAAGATGCAGAGAGTAAGTGGTAGAGGCGGACCTCAGGCCCTGTTGTCCCAAAGGAAAGGCTCTCACTGCTGCCCCCTCTGGTCTCTCGCGGTAAAGCCACTTTTGTAGCTTCTGCTCATCTGTCTCCGTTCCTCCCAGAGCAGGGGCACACAGAAGGCCCTGTTAAAAGGTTGTGTCATGGAACTCACCGGTTCAGCCCCTCAGGCAGAAACATAATGCCCAGAGAGGGTAAGCAACTAGCTCAGTGTCCATAGCCGGAAGGTGAGAGAGTTGGAGCATGCTGCCACTCAGGCTGAGTGGGGAGGCCTGTATCCAGGGGAGTGGGGAGGGGACCCTAGGTGTCTGTTGGACTGATTGAGCCCGTAGGCTCTAGTGGATCAGCTGCACTCTACCTCCCAGATGCCCAGGCCTGGACTCAGGCTACTCAGGACAGAGGCAGGTGCCTGCTAGGGGCAGTAGGTCTGGACCCCAGCCTGGCTGTGGTGTCAGAACTTCTCATCCACGGGTGGTGGGCGCCCCCTGCTGTCCAGAGCAAGGAGTGGCAGAATGGCGGGCAGATGGGTAGAGGCCACCGGGGGAGGGCTGTCAAGGGGCCTGGGCCAATGAGTCAGAGCTGGGAGACTTGCTCAGTGCCGGATGGTGATGAGGCCCGACCCGCCTCTGGCACTGATGTCCTCACAGTTCCTTGTGGCTCCAGACGTTTGCCTCTGTTGGATCTGAGCCCGAAGTACCTTTTGTAAGCTGCCTTCAGTCTAGCCAACCATGATTGTGCATCTACTCTGCACCAGGCACGGAGCAGGTGCACAGCCTGGCTGGTGAGGAGCTCCCAGTCCAGTGGGAGGACAGACAGGGGTGAACTCATTGCAGTACCAGGTGGGAGCCCTTCCTCTGGCCTGGTTGCCTCCTCTAAGAAGCCTGCATGGATTGCCCCTCTGTCCAGCCCAGCCCTCCACTGGCCCCTGTGCCTACCTCTATTCCAGCACATGCCACCCTGGCTGTCACTGGTTATGCACACCTGCCTTCCCCAGAGGATTTGAGTTCCTTTGGAAGATAGGAGCTTTGTCTTGGTCATCTTTGGACACTTGGTTCTGTGCATAGAGCCTGGTACATGGTGGTGCTCAATATGTGTGGAATGAATGAAAGGATAATATGGATGAGTTGATCACTTCCAGTGGGGGGATTTCAGGCAGGCTGCTGGGCTGAGGTGTGGGGTGAGCTGGGTGCCCTGCACACCCTAAGGTAGCTGTCTAGAGTCTTAGAACCCGGAACCACCAAAACACAAGCCCCATACAGGCAGGAATTCTGCCTTGTTCCACCAGTGCCTACAATAGTGCCTGGCCCCCAGCAGGCACTCAGTAAACATTTGCTGAGAGCACAAATAAATGAAGATGACTAAATTCAAGACCCTCTGTAGCATCTCAAGTGATCATTTAAGCCAGTCCCCTAGTGACAGGGAAGCTTGCATTTCCCTAGTGACTGGGAGCTTATTACCAAGCTCCTGAAGCAGCAGCCCTTTCCATCTTTGACCGAGCTGCCTGCTAAAAAGTTCTTTTGCTTTTCCCTGGGCTTGGTAGAATGAGCTCACACCTGCCGCTGCCCCACGGGAGCCTGTCCCTGGGGCCCAGCTGCTGGGGGCTTGTGCAGTCGCGTTAGAGTGCCTCTCAGGACGAAGTTCCAGAGCCCTCCGAGTGCCCACCTTGCCCAGACTGGCTCTCCAGCCCTCATTTGGAAAAAGGACAGAGTGAAGGGCTGAGGTGGGGTCAGAGATAGAAGACACGGTCAGGGAGAGGACAGAGCCCAGTCACGAGCTGGATCATGAGCTTTATTCTCACGTCTGAGTGATTTCCAGAACAGCTGCTCAACGCAGAAAATCACTGATTCCACCTGGTCAACAATGGAGGAGGAAGGGGTGGGTTCAGGTCACACAGCCAGCGTGTGCCAGAGGCGGGAGAGGATCTCCAGCCTCCTGACTCCCAGCCCAGTGCTCCTCCCACGATTCCTGGCTGTCCTTCATGGGCCACGTGGGGCAATAGAGGAGGAGTTCAGCTCCCAGGCTGAGGTCTGCAGAAGTCCTCAGATGTCCAGTAAGGCCTCTGCTGGCTCCTCCTGGTACAATATCATTACCAGATGCTTGCACACCTGCAAGGACAGGGAACTCACCACCTCACAGGGCACATACTCCATCTTTGAGCAGTCACCTCACAGAAGGGTGTGTGTGTGTGTGTGTGTGCGCGCGCGCGCGCGCGCATGCGCTGGCGTGTGCATGTGACGACGTGCACTAGAGCTGCCGCTCCGGGGGGAATCCACCTGGCTCCTGCTCGCCCACACAGGCTGCCAGCGGCGCAGAGGCAATTCCTCTCACTGTTCCCCTGCCAGAGAATTTCCCTGCAGGGGTTCCCCCGGGGCCTATGCTGAGGGAGTGAGAAGGGCTGCTGAGACACAGCCTGTTCATGGATCCTCCCCCAGGCCCGGCCACCTCTGTCCCCAGGGATGTCAGCTCCACTCTGGTGGGGCTGCTGCAGGGTCTTGGGACCCTGGAGTAGTGGTCCAGCAGGAAAGCTGTGGCTGAGACTGCCTCTCCAAGCATGATCCCTGTGTCCGTCATCACTCGGCTGCCACCTCCAGGCAGACCTCCTGATAACCCCAGCCCACAAAGCACTGTCTTCTTGGCCTCTCCATCGCACCACCAGTCTTTCTTGAGTCTCTTCTGTCTGGGATGCTCTCTGCTGTTTCCTTGAGGGGGTCCTACCTGCCCTTCTCCCTCGGATGGACTTCCCTGAAAGTGGAGCTCACTTCTGCTCCTGATTGGCTGGCAGCCTTCAACCCAGGGCCTGCTCAGTAAACAGGTGCAGGCTCACCAGCCAGAAGCTGCTCAGGGACGGCCCAGTGGAATCCTGACCTTCCACTGAGAAGAGGCAGCCTGGAGAGGAGGAGGCTGGCCAGCTCACCCCTGCTGGGGACGCACACTGAGGCTGCTCCTGCCACCCCAGTGGTGGGGGTGGGGTGCCGGTACCCAGCAACCAAGGTGGGCTTTGAGAAACAGCCACAGAGCCCGAAAGAGTGAAGACATCTCTAGTCCCAACACCTCGTTTTGCCAAGAACCAGAGAAGACGCTTGATGTAGCAGAGGCCACACAGTGAGTCAGAGATGAAGGTGTGTGACAGGAACCATGGGGTCCGGGCTCCTGGCATCGCTTGGAGCCCCATCTGTGGGGCTGAGCTGTGTGTATGAGAAGCCGTGCTCAGGCAGGGAGGACCAAGGCCCTGTTGAGGCCAGGGGAGGGGCAGGCAGAGATACCCACTCCCAGAGGAAGCAGGAAGCCTCCTTGAGAAGATAGGAAGTGCTCAGGGACCCCCAGGCCTCTCCTTCTTGCAAGACTGACAGCATTTCCAGGTGCAAGGAACCATTTTGCAGATGGGGAAACTGAGGCTCAAAGATACGTCAGGACGCCGGGCCCTGGAGCTGGTCTCCTTACCCTTTACCGTAGTGGCCTCAGGGCAAGGGGCAAAGAGGCCTCATTGCCAGACTCCAAGTCCCAAGGCTCCCACCCACTCTTCCTGCCCCATATCAGTTGGATGACGGGGTGATGGCATCTGCAGGCCAGGAAGCGGTGCACGGGGGGCTCGGAGGTGGGTCTCCAGGTGCTACAGGTCCCGGGGCTCCCAGGGTCCCCAGGAAGCTCAGTGCTTGCTGGCAATCTTCTTCTTTCGAGCAGAGATGAGGTCGTAGAAGGGCACGCGGGTGATGCTGGCACTGGAAGGAGAGTGGAGGAAGGACTTCAGGGCTCAGCTGGTGGTCACAAGGGCTCGTCTCTCTGGGGGTGTAACGAGGGGGGTGGGGCTCCCAGGGAGGAGTGCGCCTGCCCTGCTGCAGGGGGAGAGCCAGATAATGCCACAAGGATGGAGCCAGGCCAAGTCCAGCCTTGTACCCAGCCCAGTGTCCCAGGGGCAGGGCCAAAGCCAGTGTGACCTCAGATTGGAGGTGAGCGCCTTGGGAATTCTGCCCCAAAGGATCCCTAGAGCCCTCCTTTGGGTGCCCATCAGTGACTCTTGGAAGGAGGTAGGGGCCAGGAGGCCTGCTTGCTGCCCGGCCCTGCTGCTCATGGACTGTGGCCCTGGGCAAGTCCCGCCTTTCTCTGGGTCACAGTTTCTGAGTTTCTAAATGGGGAAATAAAACACATTGCTCTTTGTGGGTAACATCCAGCCTCAAGAGGGTGGACGTGACCATCCTGTGATGGAGGGTGGCTACTCTCTTCTCCTCTTTGCCTTATTTCAGACCCTCACGTCTCTCCTTTCACAGCCTGACTTGGCACTTTAGAGATGGCCCCTCCACTGTGGCTTCTCACCTGACCATAGCCCTGCCCTGTTTACCAGGCTGTGGCTCCCCATTGCCCCCAGGAGAAACCTAAGCTGGTCACCATGGCAACCAAGGCCTTGCTATCCTCTATAGCCTCATACCCCACTGCCCAGCCCCTGTACCACCTGGTCTGCCCTGACCCCACCCAGCCAGGGCTGCAGTGGCCAGGCTCCTACCCTGCCCGGCCTAGACTGCCTGGCCCCGGCTCTGCCCAGCCCTGAACTGTCAGGCTTCCACACTGCTAGGTCTGCATTGCCTAGCCTCCATGTTGCCCAGCGCCCACACTGCCCAGCCCTGGACTTCTCAGCCACACCCTGTCCAGGCTGCCCTAACCCCACACTGCCAGGCCTGGACTGACCCCACACTGTCAGGCCTGCACTGGCTGGCCCTGCCCAGCCCCCCACCATCCAGTACCCTCTCCTCAGGAATATGGGAACATTCCAGGAAGGCCCCGCACTGATCTGCCTACTTGTCTTTGCCTACATTGGTCCTTCACCGGGAAGAGCCTTCCCTCCACCTGTACCAGCTGCAGTCCTTGCCACCTTGGTTGCTGATGGTGACCAGAGTGCCATTTCCTGAGCACTCCCCAAGGCAAGCGCTCTGCAAAGAGCATTACATGCACCATCTTACATGGTTCCCCCAATAACTCCGTGGACTCGTGTCTCACTGTCCTGCGTCTGAGGCCTGTGCCGGGCCCAGAGGAGGTGCTCTCATGACACGGAGGGAAGGGATTTACACACCAGATAAGCTCCCTTCCAGGTAGGGAAACAGACCCCGTGAGAAGCAGGGGCTTCTGGAAGGTTGCAGCAGGCCCGTCCCCACTGCCCAGCTGCCCTCACCGTATGGCCTTGATCCACTGGTCCCGCTCCTCGGCGCTGGTGGCCGAGATCCGGTAGGACTCGTGTTTGCCTTCCACCACCTTGCCGTCCCCATCTGTCTTGCAGGCCTTTATCTTCTGGCCCCGGCAGCTGGGGTTGTAGAGCTCCAGGCAGAACTGGGGGAGGCAGTGGGTGAGGACGAGGCAGGGGTGGGGGGGGGTGGATGGCCTGCCCACCATGCCCTCTATGTGGCTCAGGGCTGCCTTCCTTCACCCTCCTGGAACCGTGGACCCTGGGGCAGGTCAGTGTCATCAAAAGGGTATGGTCTTAGTTGCTATGCAGACCCTGACTCTGACATTGGCTGGGTGACCTTGATAAGTCACTGCCCCTCTCTGAGCTTCAGTTTCCCCATATGTCCAATGGTTATTTTATGGAGAGTGATGGATAGGATGAGCCTGGCACACACTAAGTGCTCAGTGTGGCTGGTAGTAGCTGTTGCCCCTTTGTTTTCCAGAGAAAATGGGTCTCTTGGGGGCAGGGTGTGTCCTGCAGGGGAAGGGGAGATGGGGCCCTTATCTGAGCGTCTAGTCCTCTCTGAGCCTGTCTTAGGAAGTCCCCTAGTAGCTCTGGCCTCAGACCCCTGCCCCGACACTTACTGGCTTCTTGGGGTCATCCACCTTCTGCACTGAGAGGTTCTCAAGGGGTATGATCCCTCGTGGCTCCTTGTCCTGCAGGGGGAGTGGAGGGAAGGGCAAGGTCAGTACATGAAGCTTGGAGGTTAAGGGCGGGGCGGGAACTCATGGGGCTCCCCAAACCCATAGAGAGGTGGACCCATCTCCCCAGCCTCAGTCCAGCCCTGGAGTGTAGGGAGAGAGCCTTGGCTGGGAGGGCTAAGGCAGGGGTGAGGCTCAGAGGCTCAGGGGCCCCCAGCTCACAGTGGTGAACTCGAAGTAGTAGAGGCAGTTGTCGGTCAGGATGAACCAGCGCCGTTTCCACGTTTTCACTCGGCCCCCTGCGAGAGGCCCACAGGTGGTCAGCCAGGCCCTGCACCTCCCTGGGCCACCTCTTCCTCCCGGAAGAACGGGGCCCCAGATATTTTCTCCTGGGCCCCCTTCTGGGATTCTTACTCCTAGCCCACTACCGTTTCCCCGTCATCCATCCTTCTTCACTCAAAAACCTTAACAGCTACCATCACCCCCAGGCTCCCTTTGAGTTGCTTGACCCAGCATTCAAGCTTTCCTGCAGCTAAGCCCCAGAACAGCAACTAATTGTCCTCTCCATTTGCCTACCACTGTCACCATTGCCTCACCCTTAGGCCTGTCCCCTGCCTGATGCTAGTACTAGGCACTTTGTCTTTTATTAGCTTGGCGCTGGTTCTAGAGTTTTCCAACACATATTATTAAGCCTATAGCCACCTGCCAGGAGGGACCATCAGCATTCTCATTTTACAGATGAGGAAACAAGGCACAGAGAGGTTAATTTACATGTCCAAGAGTGCACAGCAGAGCTGAGATTTGAACCCCAGTGTCCTGGCTCCAGAGCCCAAGCTCTCAGCCATTTTGCTACACCTTTAACCCTCCCTGTGATTATCACCCCATTTCACAGTGGCAGAAACTGAGGCTGAGAAACCTAAGCACAGGCATATGGCAGAGGACCCAGGGCTGTGGGCTCCAGACGCCCCTCTCCTACCTGAATTGGGCTGAGGGCAGGTGGCTGGGGAGGGAGGGAGGCCAGCTGTCTGCAGGGGAGGAATCGTTGGGGAAGTGGGTATAGAGAGATGGAGGGCCCAGATGGGCATCTGGGGGTGTTGGGCAGGGCTGGCACAGTGCCAGGCACACTGGAAGTGCTGGAGGCCACCCAGGTGAGGCCTCTGCACCAATGTGTCCAACCTCACTTGCCTCCTAGGCTTTCAGGCGTGTGTATGGGGTAGGGGCAGATGGCCAGGGCCTGCAGTTTCCCTGTAAGACTCTGTAGCAGCCAAAGTACCCAGCACTGCAGCACCCACCCACAGCTCCTCTTGCAGCGCTGAGGCCCGGCTGCTGCTTCTGGGGGCAGGCCCTCCCTCCCCCAGGCATCTTGAGGGGAGGTTCCCCGTGAGCCACATCCTGCCACATGTCCTCCTCTCCTTCAGGGGTACCCAGCTTTCTGACCACCAACATCTGCCACTTGTTGTCTGTGTGGCCTCAGGCAGGTGCCCTAACCTCTCTGAGCCTTGGCTTCCTCAGAATGCCAACCAAAAGGCGGGGCTGAGCGAGGGGCCAGCACCTGCCTGCCTTTGTTGTTGTGTGCCTTTGAGTCGGACCCAACTCATAGCGACCCCTCCTTGGGTTTCCAAGGCATTATCACTACGGAAGTAGATTGCCCAACCTTCCTTCCAAGGAGCCTGCCTTTAGTAGGTCTTAGATGCTAGATCTGACCAAGACTCCTCAGTCTACCCCTCTGGGGAGAAAACCAGAATGGCGTTGATGTGTTTGTCTGTGGATCTGTCTGCCTCAGGTACCTGAACTTGGCCTTCCTCTCCTGCTACCTTTTCCCCATTCCCAGGACGGGAGGGTGGGGTGGGGCAGAGTGGAGCACTGGGGTCAGGAGACCTGGAGCTGATCTGATTCCACGCCAAGGCTGCATGTGAGTGTGTATGTGTGTGTGTGCAGGCATGTGCGTGTGAAATGTGTGTCAGTGCATGTGCTACCATGTGCTAGTGTGTGCTTGCATGTGTGTGTACGCATCGGCAAGAGTGTGCTGGTGTGTGTGTGCATCAACAGCTCACAGATGTGTGCCCGTAGGCGCCCGTTGGCCACTCACCCAGCTTCAGCAGCCAGCCCTCGCGGTCCGGGTTGAAGAAGGTGTGAGTGAGGTCATTGCCGTCATCCTCAGGGATGGAGAAGGGCTCACTTTTGATGCTGTCAAAGAGGTTCTGCCGAGAGAGGGAAGGGCGGGGCGGATCTGCTGCAATGCCTGTCCACCCTGTGTGGCCACGGGGAGGTCACTCCACCCTTGGGCAAACTCCTTCCTTTCCTGCTAGCTCATGGCTAGTTCCTGGATCTCCTCTGGTGAAACCCTCCCTGGTTCCCCAGGCCTACTTGGTGCCCCGACTCTTGCCGAGGTTGGCAATGCCCACCCTCCAGTCTCATACTTTCCCCCAGACCATGTTGGGCAGAGGGAGTGAGGGTCAGCCTCTCAGAGTGGCCACCCTGCTGCCCCGTGTAAATGCTTTGTCATGTTGGGACAAGAGCACTGGCCTTGGAATCAGACTGGTTAAAATTCCAGCTTAGTCACTCCATGGCTGTGTGACCCTGGGTAAGTCTCTCAATCTTTCTGAGCTGCTTTGCCCTCAGGTGAAAAATGAGAATACTGCTGATCTCCCAGGGTCCTGGGGGCAGTAACTGGACCTCGCTGGGGTCAGAAGCCCCTCCTTTTTCCCTAAGTCAAGGGGAAGGTGGTGAAGAGGGAGAACACCCCCTGCGCCACCCCACTCCCTTCACCCCGACCACCCAGAGCTGCTCTTTCAGGGCAGATGAATGAGCCCTGGATTGTCTCCCCTGTTTCTCGGAGTGTGGAGACAAGGACACTCTGGCTGGGACCAGCATTGCATACACATCCTTACCTGTGCACGTGTGTGCGCGCACACACACGCGTCTTACCTGTGCACACACACACACATGGGCTTCTTACCTGTGTGGCCACTGTATACACACATGCACACACACATACACACGTGCACATGCGCTTTTTATCTGTGTGGGTACGTGCACACACACTGCGCTTACTTGTGTGCACGTGCATACACACACATACACACATGTTCTGGGGTTCTTACCTGTGTGTACGCACACATACACACACACACACTCTAGGGGACAGCAGCCAGAGTTCAGATCTCCTTGGACAAAGCCCATGGGGTAAGGGCCCCTTATGGGTAGGCTCCCTCCTCTGCTTTGCAATAGCAGACTCCCACTGTGTCTCTGGGCGGGGCTTGTCCAGAGGAACTGCCAAGGAGAAAGGGGATTGGCTGCCTGGTGTAGCGAGGCCTGGGCAGAAGGAGAGACTCAGGGGTGGGGTGCTGACCTCAGCTCTCAAAGGCCCTTCTGCCAGGCAGAGGGAAATGGCCTGTTCTGGGTGGGCTCTGATTTCCAGGGTGGGCGAGGAGCTCCCTGGAGCCGACTTCAGTTCTCACTGGAGAATGTTCTAGCAGTTAGAGCTGCCGAAATTTGGAAGGAGTGACCTTGTAGGGTCATGAGCTCCTTGTCACTGGAGATATGCAAGCCAGGGCTGGGGACCTCCTTGTGGGTGAGCTGCCAACCAAGTGCTGTATATTCTGAAGCCCCATCACGATGACTGGGGTTCCATGAACAACCTGCCCAGATCTCCAAGTGTTTTGAAAAAGAGACTGAAAACCGCCTCAACTTACTGAAACCAGACATAATGGGGTATGTCCGTCAGTAAGATAATTCACCCATTTCCTTTGGTTGCAATGGTGTGTGCTTCTGTTCAGATAGTTTCCTGGAGATTTCGAAGTGAAAAATTCCACAAGTATTGTTTTATCCCCCAGATTTTAGAAATAGTGCTTGTTGGATTTTAAAGTCTATTTTGATCTGGGCGCTCAGGGGCGGGGTGAGGGCAGGCTGAAGTGGGCTTTCCTGGGCTTGATGGAGGTGGGACTCAGGCCTGGCTGTGGGGAGGAGGAGGGAGGGCCCAGTCCTTGGTCTACAGCCCCTAGAACAGTCGAGAAGCCCTCTTCCCCGCTCCTGCCAAGGCCCGGCAGAGCCCTGGGAATTCCCAGGTGGCACTTGCTGGCTGATTGAACAAGGACCTGCCACAGGAAGGGTCCCCGTCAGTGAAGCTGTCGGCATAGAAATATCTGGAAGCCTGAGGAGCCAGGCAGGGACAGACAGGGAGCCTTAGATCTCCATGAAACCCATCGTAGGGCTGGGCGGCTTCTTTAGTCCCCTTATCACCCCCCACAGAGAAAATAGCTCAGTTCACCCACATTTCCTGGATCTTGTAACACCAACCTCTCCCCTGTAAGAACACACCCCTGCATGCCCCCACCAAACCACTGGGCCCAGCTGTCTTCTCCGGCTAATGGATAAGATCAGAAACACAACAGCCCCCTTCCAGGGCTTCTGCTGGCCCCACATCCCTCCAGTCCCTTTCTTCCTTCAGCTTTTTTCTCCCCAACTTTGTCCAGATTACTCAAGGGGGCTGCTGACACCCTCTCCTCCAGTCTCCAGGAGTGGGCAAGTGCTCACTTTTGGCCAATCAGAGCATTTCATCCTATTGGCCTCAGGGTTGGCTCAGGGAGGGTCATATGGCCCCAGCCAGCCAATGAGCCTTAGTTCTGGGACTTTTTGTTTGAACTGCTGACAAAGAGGGCTACTAAGCAAGATGTGTGGATCATAACACATTGTGGGTAATATTGAGAAGAATGGGAATTCAGAACACTTCACTGTACTCATGAGGAACCTGTACATAGACCGGGAGGCTGTTGTTCAAACAGAACCAGGGGTTACTGCATGATTTAAAATCAGGAAGGGAGTGTGTCAGGGTTGTATCCTTTCCCCATACTTATTCAGTCTGTATGCTGAGCAAATGATCTGAGAGGCTGGACTATATGAAGAAGAATGTGGCATCAGGATTGGAGAATGCTCATTAACAACCTGAGCTACACAGATAACACAACTCTACTTGTTCAAAGTGAGGATGACTTGGAACACTTACTGATGAAGATTAAAGACTACAGTCTGCAGTATGAATTATAACTCAACATAAAGAAAAGAAAAATCCTCACAACTGGACCAATAAGCAGCATCATGATAAATGGAGAAAAGATTAAAGTTGTCAGAGACTTCATATTAGCTGGTTCTACAATCAACGTCAGTGGAAGCAGCAGTTAAGACATTGGACAAAGTATAGCACCAGGTAAATCTGCTACAAAAGACCTCTTTCAAGTGCTGAAGAGCAAAAATATCTCCTTGAAGACTAAGGTGCGCCTGACACAAGCCATGGTATTTTCAATCGCTTCATATGCATGTGAGAGCTAGACAATGAACAAGGAAGACTGAAGAAGAGTCAATGCTTTTGAGTTGTGGTCCTGGCGAAGAATGCTGAAGGTACCATGGACTGCCAGAAGAACTAACAAATCTGTCCTGGATGAAGTGCAGCTGGAATGCTCCTTGGAAGCTAGAATGGCCAGACTTCATCTCACCTACTTTGGTCATGTTGTTAGAAGGGACCACTCCCTGGAGAAGGATGTCATGTTTGGTAAGATGGAGGGTTGATGAAGGAGGGGAAGGCCTTCAACAAGATGGATAGACATGGTTGCTGCAGCAAAGGGCTCAAGTATAGTAGGGTTTGGGAGGCTGGCACAGGACCAGGCAGTGTTTCATTCTATTGTATATAAGGTCGCCCTGAGTCAGAGATGACTTGATGCCACATAACAACAACAACAACAACAACAACAACAACAAAGCAAGATGAGTGTGTGGAGCTGCCTGGGTCATCTCTGCCATCACTGGGGAGAGCCTGCGTAAGAAGGAACCCAACATGGGAGAAAGGGGAACCGAATGCTGATGTCACTGAACGCCTGTGTCTAGCTGAGCCTGAAGTCAAATTAATCCTTGATCTTCTCAGTCACGGGAGCTGAGAATCTCCTAGCCAGGAAGTTGTTAGAAGTTAGGAAAAACAGCCAAGTCCTCTGTCCCTAAATCTCACCCTCTAGTTTCTGCAGAGAGAAGAACTCCAGAGTCAGATAGCTGTGGGTTCAAATCTAGACTCCACAGAGACAACTCTGAACTCAATTTCCTGAGCTGTAAACCGGGGAATGTACTGCTGCCTAAGCTTGTCAGGGGTACTTAGAACTGTGACAGTACACAGTCAGTTCTGGAAATTGGCTGCTCTCACCATATTAAGGTTATGTCTACAGCACTTTGCCTGGAGTCCCTGGATGGTGCAAATGGTTAAACCCTCGGCTGTCAATCCAAAAGTCGGAGGTTTGAGTCCATCCAGAGGGGAAGACAGACCTGGTGATGTAATTCTGAAAAACCAGCCCTTGAAATCCCATGGAGGACAGCTCTACTCTGGCACGTGTGCGGTCACCATGAGTCGGAACTGACTCGATGGCAACTGGTTTGGCAACTGGTCCCTTCCTGGGGACCAGAGGCACATATGGCACAAAACAGCCAGTTAAAATCACAAAGTCTTGGAGTCTCCCCACTCCAAGTCCTGGGGGAGTTTCCCAGGGTTCGAGGCTCCCTGTTAGGTTTCACTCACAACATGTCCTCCTTATATCTTTTCTGGTCAATCAGCCACAGTAGTGACCAGTTGTGAGTCCCAGATGGCATCAGATGGGATCCTGAACCTCTGTTGTCTCAGTAGCAGGGAGGACCTAGGACTGTGATAGGAGCTGGCTCCAGGGGTCCTGTCACTGAGGCCACTGCCTGGGCTGGGCCAGGTGCTCTGACCCTGCAATTCTTGGGGCCAGGTGGACTCACAAGTTTCCTTGTGGGGACATTGTGTGTATGTGCACACATTGTGTGTGTGTGTTGTATGCGTGGGGGAGCAGGGGGCAATGATGGGGTCCTGGAAGCCCGATCATCCTCCTGCCTTTGACACTCTCTCAGGGATGTCAGCTGAAGCAGTCTGAGCTGTAAACCAATGGGAGGCTTGGAAAAGGACTCAGGAGTCCGGCTGCCAACAGTAGAATGCACCCTGGGCTGGACGGCTGTTTCCCTGCCCGGGCCTCAGTTTCCCCACCTGTAATGGGAGAGGGTGGAGATCCCCTCCTCCATTCTTGTCCTGTCTCCTTCCCTTCTCCCAGCCAGTCCCTCTCCCGCTCTCTCAAGGTGAGCAGGTCCTCTCTCAGCATTTTTCATGTCCCTACCAGGTGCCAAGCTCCCCCTCCTGCTTTATTTCAGCTTCTTGGGAGAACAATGGGAGGTCAGTGTCATTAAGGAAAGGAAACTGAGGCTACCGTCCAAGGTCACATAGCCTTAAAGGCAGAACTGGGATTTGATCTGCCTTCCACCTGCTTGTCCCCTGACTCCCACTGGGCACCCTGGTGGTCTGTGTGCCCTTGGGTTGACCTCTCTTTAGGTATTGTATCTGTGGAAATCTGATTTTCGGAAACTGGCCATTCAAGAACGTTATGCTGTTGGCAGGGCCCGAGCTAGGGTTGCTCCATGGAGAGCCCGTCACAAAGTGGCAAACTTTGAACACCTGACTGTGTTGGGAGAGCTGAGTCCTTGCTTTACACGAGGGGAAAATGAGGCCTGGTGGGAGTGGGCAAGACTGCCCCCCAATCTATATGTGGAAGCTTTGAACGGCAAGATCCAAGCCTGTGTGGTCCTCATTGACCATGCCCTGGAAAACTTCTGGCTTACTTAGCCACTCTAACGATCAGCCACTTGGCTAAGTACTTGACATTTCTCCACTAATCCTATGAGCTGGGGGCTCAGAGAGGTCAAGCCACTTAACCAATACCACACAGCACCAAAGTAGTGTCTTTAGGACTCGGATGGGGTTCTGCCTCCAGTGTTCTTTTTCTTCCCCCTACCAGGTAAGTTTGGTTTGGTGGTTTTTGACCAGGTAGGTGCCTAAGGAACTCTGGTGGTGTGGTGTCCAAGGCATTTGACTGCTAACCAGAAGGCTGGTGGTTCAAATCCACCAGCCACTCCTCAGAAGGAAGATTGGGACATCTACTTCCATAGAGATACTGCCTTGAAAACCCAAGGAGGGGTCGCTATGAGTTGAAATGACTTGAGGACAGTGACTTTGGTTTTGGTGACCAGGTGCCTAAGGAGTTCTGGTGGCATAGTGCCTAAGGCATTTATTTGACTGCTAACCAGAAGGCTGGCAGTTCAAACCCACCAGCCATTCCTCGGAAGGAAGACTGGGCAATCTACTCCTGTAAAGATTTACTGCCTCAGAAAACCAAGGAGGGAACCAACTCGAAGACAGTGAGCTTGCTATTTTTCTGGTTTACCAGGTGCCTGCCTCTCCTGGCTGCCAAAGAGGACCTCCCAGGCAGAATGGGAAGCTAAATGGAGACAATGGAGCAAAAGCCCTGGGAGAATAAAGACACAGGCTCTATGCAAATACAGAACATTGCTATCATCAAAAGGCTTGAATTGGGAAAAATACCTAAGGAGGGAGGAGCTGAAGCAGGCTCATGGGGGTGGGGTGGGGTGCTGAGGGCAACAATGTGGGCCCATGGGGAGGCTGCAGATGTAATTAAGTTGTTACACCGGATGGGGGCCCACTCTGCCTCCAGGAGCACAATTGAGAACTCTCACCAATCCTCTCATGCCTCTTGCCTCTCAGGTGCTTGGCTAAGTGCTGTGCTTCTTATTAATTATCCCTGATAGTGACATAAGCCACCATTTATGTATTTGGCAGAGACCATGCCCTTTGCGTTATTTTTTAATTGCTACCCACAGCTGTTGTGTGACGCAGGTGTTATTCCCCTCCCCTCCATTTTCCTTACTGAGGGAATGGCAGCTTGGAGAGGATGAGTCAGGGCCAAGGTCACCTAGCAGGCACATGGGGGAGACAGGATTTGGCCTGAGAGGTTCCCTCCCCCACACCAGTGATGAACTTTCTCCTCTAGCCATCAAGTCAGCTGGTGGGCTAGGGGTATGGTAGTTCTCAAATCCAAGGACCAGCAGGATCATTGAGACCCGAGTTCCAGCCCAGACTTCTGAGGCAGGAGGTGGATAGAGGGCTAAGCTGGAAGGATAGGCTTCATGCCCCCTCTTCCTATCCCTGACCCTGGAGGGCACTAGTCCTTGAAATGTCACTTCCTGTTTGCTCCACCTGGCTCCCAATCTCTCACTCCCCCACCTCCCCTTTTTTTTAAACACTGTTCTCAGCTCTGTGAAGTGGGAAACCAGCAGACCCTGAGGCTAGCATTTGGAGACCTGGTCCTCTGGCCCCATCCACACTACCCATCACTGTTCACAGTATCCACACCCCAGCCACCTCACTGGATCCCCACCCCCTACCTCCCACCCAGGCCTGGGTTCTGGCAGCTTCCGTTTTTTCAGGATGTTCTTTCTCTTCTGGAAAAATTCCTATTCAACTGGCAAAACCCAGTTCAAATGTCACCTCCTCTGTGGAGTCCTCTAGGAGGCTACCTTTCCTCTGCCCCCGGGAGAATTCTAGCAGTCCTCAGTGTCTCCATGGCTGTGTTCTGTGGTCAGCACGGCATGACTCATGAAGGACTTGTTAGTCACATAGTTGTCATCTCCCCACCAGACCCTAAACTTGGGCAGAACAGGGGCTGTGGTTAATTTATCCTTGGGTGTAGTAGGGTGGGGGAGGGTTTGATGGTGGAGACATCAGGCCTGGGTTCTGCTTGCCTCTGCCAACGGCTGTCTCCTATTCTCCAAAACGACCTGAGCACAGACTTTGAGGACTTTGAGCTGATGCACTAAGAGACTTGGGTGGTCCACCTCAGCACATGCCCTTCTTGGAGTGGTCTATGTCTTCTTGGAGTGGTCTATCTCAGCACATGCTCTTCTTGGAGTGGTCTTTCTCAGCACAGGCCCTCTCTGAGTGCTCTATCTCAGGATGGTCCCTTCTTGGAGTGGTCTATCTCATGAGGTGACTCGTTTGGGTGGCCTGGGTCAGAGTAGTCTGTCTTAGCACAGGTTACCTCTCTAACTGGTCTATCTCAGCACAGGCCCTCTCTGAGTGCTCTATCTTGGGATGGTCCATTCTTGGAGTGGTCTATCCCAAGAGGAACCTTTCTTGCATGGCCCATGTCAGAGTGGTCTATCTCAGCACAGGCCCTCTCTGAGTGGTCTGTCTCAGCACATGCCCTTCTTGCAGTGGGCTGTCTCTTCTTGGAGTGGTCTATGTCAGCACAGACTCCCTCTGTGAGTGGTCTAACTCAGCACAGGCCCTCTCTGAGTGGTCTACCTCAGAGGAGCCCCTCTTGGGCCATCTATCTGAGACAGCCCTCCTCGGATGCCAGGGCCTGGCTGGCTGGGCAGCAGCCCTCTTACCCATAGCAGCTCCTCGGGCAGGTCACTGCCATCATTGATGCCCCGGTTCATGGACACAAAACGCTCGAAGGGCGGCCTGTCCCGGACGTTGGGGTTGTGGAGGCTGGTGTTAAGCATGATGATGGAGAAGGACAGGACGTAGCAGGTGTCTGCAAGATGGGACGGTGGTCGTCACACTCCTCTCCTTGGCCCTGATCCCTCAAGGAAGAATTTGCTGTCCCTGCCCTGCCTCGGAGTCCTGAAGGTCCACCCCACCCTCCCGACTTGGTGCTCCAGGCTCAGCCTCAACTCCCGTTCTTTCCTGAGCTCCTCCCCCTGTCCCCAAACTTCAGCAGTCACGTTCTGAGCCCCTCAGTGCCCTCCCACCCTGTGCCTTGGCTCCCACTGGGTTCCTGCCCAGCGTGCCCGCCCTTCTCTTTTCTACCTATTCAAACTCTCTCCTTCAGCCCCAGCACAGCCCTCCTCCCGCAGAGAGCCCTCCCAGCCCCCTGCCCACTCTGTTCTCTGCCTCCTTGGAACTTGGAGAACACTTTATTGTTGGCAAGGCTCTTCAGGGTTCAATCACATGCTGCTTTGTAATCCTGCTGCCTGTGGGCTCGTGGGACAAGCTCTGGCTCCATTATTCAGACTTTCACGTGTTTGGAAGCAAGACTGGGCTGCCAGCGCTGGAGGGAGGTGACTACTGCTCTGGGTCTTTAGTGGCACATTGAGGCCGGAGCCCAGAGCCAGGGAGTCCAACTGTGTCCCCAGCTCTCCCATTGACCTTGAGGAACTGACTTCCCTGAGTCTCAGGTTTGTTTATCTCTGAAGCAGCTTCATGTTCTAGGATGTCTATGATTCTACCCGGATAACAGTGGCACCTAGTGTTACCGACACTTGTCCTGAGCTAAACTCTTTATACCCCAGGACAACCCTGTACGGCAAGCTCTGTTATTGTCATCATTAACTGCCAGAGTTGGCCTGACTCCTGGCGACCCCCGCACAATGGGATCAGTGCACTGTGGTCCATAGGGCTTTCATTGGCTGGCTTTTTTTTTTTTTTTTTTTAATAAAGCTTTTCTTCCTAGTCCATCTTAGTCTGAAACCTATTCAGCTTCATAGCAACAGGCAAGCTTCCACTGACAGATGGGTGGTGGCTGCATGGGAGGTACAGTGGCTGGGAATCAAACCCAGGGCGAGAACGCCACCACTGCATCTCTGTCCCCTTCAGGTACTATTTCTACCCTCATTGTACAGATGAGCCAACTGAGGCAGGGGGTTGAGTTTTTTTTTTTTTTGCACCAGGTCACAAAATTAAGAAATAATTAGACTGTGATTCAAATCTGGTGCTCTGAAAATAGTTCCCTTCTTGCCTACAAATATTTATTGAGCATGTGCTATGTGCTGGGAATGAGGGATTTATTAATGAATAAATCTGACATGGTCCCTGTCCTGGTGGGGCATTTAGGTTTGTGGAGCTGACAGGTCATAAACACACACTAAATCAACGTGTAACTAACTACAAAGCAGGGCAGTGCTCTATGGGGAGAGAGCAAGGGGCAGGGAGAGAGCACAAGGCAGGGAGAGCATGCAGGCTGAGGAGGAGGAAGTCCTGTGACTGAGGCCTGAGAACAGATGATGAAGTGAGGAAGGGCATTCCAGGTGAAGGGAACAGCCTGTGCAAAAGCCCTGAAGTGGAAAACCATCTTGTATTTGTGGAGGAACCAGGGGGTGAAGGAGCTCTGGTGGTGTCGTGGTTAAGGCGCTTGCTGGTAATCAAAAGATTGGTAGTTTGAACCTACCAGCTGCTTCATGGGAGAAAGATGAGGCAGTCTGCTTCCATAAAGTTTTACAGCCTTGGAAACCCTGTGGGGGTCACTGTGAGTCAGAATTGACTCGATGGCAGTGAGTTTGGTTTTATTCTTTTGAATGTGCTTGGAGCAGGATAGAGTAGAGGCTGAGGAAATGAGGGTGGAGAGGCAGCCGGGCTGCTGGGAGCTTTGTTGGGGGCCAGAGTCCTTGCTGGGGGACACAAGGCTGTCCCCCATGGAGGCTGTAATGCTGTCCTACTTTGCTGCATCCCCTGGCACTGCCAGGGTGAGCACCATCAGTACATGGTGCTGGGTGGGAGAGTAGGGCCCAGAAGGGAGAGGTGGTGGCCCAGGCCCACCTCTAGGTGGTTAGGGGCCTACAGGACCAGCTCCACACTTGAGAGTTCTGCAAGGGTGGGTTCTCAGACACCTTGGTCACCCTCCATGCCCAGTGCCCAGCACAGGAGCTGGTCTAGAAGGGCGTTCAGGGACGTCAGGGGAACTGATGTGGGAGCTGTGGATGCTCTGGAAGGTGGTCAGACTGGAGTGTGTCATGTGTTGAGTGAAGGGAGGTAAGGGCTGGGGAAGGGTGTGGGGCTCAGGGTCACTGTCTCTGAGTCTCTGAAGGACTCATGTATGGAAGCTCCGAGGAGGCACATTCAGTTCTTTAGGCTCTTTGTAAAGTAGTGAGCTCCCCATCACTGGAGGGAACCAAGTCAAGGTCAGCTTGTAGAAACGTGAGGGGCATTCAAGCGCTGGGCAGGGGGAAGATCCTAGTCTTGAGATGGTGAATCTATGAGCAAAGTGGTTAATACTATGGGTTTTGGAGTCGGCCAGAGCAGAGTTTGACTTTGGGGCCCACCACTTTTTGGCTGTGCGTCCTTGGACAAGCCACTTCACCTCTCTGTCTCTGTTCTACTCTGCAAGAATGGATAAGAATAATAGTGACCTCATAGAGTTGATACAGGGAGTAAATGGCTTTGTAGGGGCCAAGCAGTTAGCACACAGTACAGTGGCCAATAAACAGAGTTGGCGATTGTTGTTAGTGTAACTTTAGAGGCAAACAGACCTCTCTCTCACCCTGTCCTCTGAGCGTCTCTGCAGGGACATCTGATCAACCGTGGGGGTGGTTATGGAGGAAACCTTGGAGACTGACCTTTGTCAGTCTTTCATTCTCCCTTTCCCCTACACCTTCCTCAGGCTGTGTCATGCTTCTGAGACTTTGATCACACTGAAGATCCTGCCAAAAAAGACTCTCTTCCCTTGACCTCCTAGAGAGCTCCTATTCATCCTTCAAAGCCCTGTTCAGACCCCACTTCCTCTGGGAAGCCGTCCTGGACCTGCTGACTGCCCCGCCCCCACCCTCAGGCAGGGCTGGTCACCCCTTATTGGCATGGCTGCTGCTGCTGCCCCAGCACCCTGGGCCATCCTCTCCCACAGACTACACCCTGCAGAGGGGCTGGTATGGAAGTGATGCCCAGCCAGGACTCTGGAAGGAATATGGGCCTCCAGGGCCTCAGTGCGTGGGGCAGCCTGGTGCCTTGGCAGGCAGAACAGAGGCTGGCTGTGCTGAAGGGGTTCCGAGTCCCAGGTCCCACCCTGCGCCTGGCACCTGTGGACTGGAAGACGCCCGGGTTGCAGAGGCAGTATCGGGTGGCGAAGGTCTCCATCATCCGGTCGATCTTCTGGGCCTCTCCCGGCAGCCGGAAGCTCCATAGAAACTGCCTTGAGGAAGAACAGGGCTGTGGGCAGCAGGGTGGGTGGGGGCTTTTGGTGGACCCCAACCAGGCTCTGCCTCTCCCAGGCACAGAATCTCTTTCCCACCTAGGGGAGAGTCTGGACCTGTGTCCAGGCTTGTGGGAGGGTTCAGTAGGATTTGTACATGAGGGCACCAAGCACGGAGTACAGATGCAAGAAGTGTCCGTTCTTTCAGATTTCCAGAGCTGAGTGAGCCCTCTTCTCTGCACACACACATCTTAGCACTGTTCGCGGCCCAGGCCCACCTCAGCGGACGAGGAAGCCGCTGTCTGTCCCAGGTGTGCTGGCTCACCTAGCCTGGCCGCTCAGCTCTGGGCCTAAGCTGCCCTTCAGCTCTGGAAGCCAGTGACTCCCACAGCTTCCAGCTCAGTTCCCTGAGGGCATGGACTGTGCCTGCTCCTCTCTCATCTCCTGGGGGCCAAGCGAAGGCCTGAGCACCCTAGAACTGCTGAATAAACTCTTGTTGAATGCATGAGTGAGTGAATTAATGAAAGAACATGGGAGGCCCCCAAGCCACCTCTCCTTATCCATTAAAGAGCTTAAGAGTTGGAGGAAAAGTCACACTGCCTGGATGGTGATGGCTTCTTCCTTCTTAGTCTAGCATACTCCTACTCATCCTTCAAAGCCCAATTCAAATGCCCCTTCTTGGGGCATCATCACCATTGCTACCATCATCATCAGCAACCACACTAAGCACTTAACCATGGGCTCGTTCTAAGTACTTTCTCTTGTAGTCATCACAACCCTATGAGATGGGTACTATTGTCATCCCTCCTTTACAGATGAGGGAACTGAGACACAAAGAGGGTTTCTTGTGTGACTTGACCAAGGTCACACAGGGCATGAGTGGCTGTGGTAGTTAAGGTTATGTGTCAGCTTGGCTGGGCCTGCGTTTGAGTGGCTGGGCAGCTGGATGTAGTTATTCCCCATGATGAGACTGGTAATCAACCCCACGGTGGAATCTACTGTGAGCAGCTGAGTAGTTGCTTTAGGGATGTGGTCTTCTCTAAGGAGAAGCTCTTGGGAATGGTCATTAGCTTTTTGGCACGCTTGAACCCTGGGTGTAGCCAAGTCATTGTTCAGCAGCTTGCCATGCTCTGCCAATCTTGGGACTTTTTCTGGACTTGAGTCAGTGGCCTGCCATGTTGTTTGGTAACATCGGGACTGTGCCTTTTTTACTTGTCGACCTTGGGCTTGTCATTCTCAGTAGCCAGTAGCTGTCTGAGTGAAGAAAAGCCTCTCACTTCAGTGGGCTGGGACCAGGAGACAGAGCTGAAGCCTAAGGTTGAGGGACTTTCCACCCAGCCCCTAGAGACTGGCACTTTGAAGTCAGACTTCTAGCTACCAAAATTGTAAGACAATGAACTCCTGCTCCTAAAGCCGTCCACCTGTGGTTTCTGTCAGAGCAGCACTGGTGGTAACCAAAACAGTGGCAGAGCTCAGCAGTCAGGCTCCAGAGTTTGAGTTCCTAACCTATGCACTGCACTACTTCCCGTAGTTGTAAAAATAGGAACAGCAACAGTAATGTCCTCATTAGAAAATAATAAGTAGTAAGTGCAATATGAATTAAGTTGTAGCAATAAAATAAGTAAAACAAGCACTAATCCAAAAAGGAATAGTTCTGGGAGTAATAATAGTGGTGTAGGGATGATTGTATGTGCTTATAATGGGTAAATGTGTTTATAATAAAAACAGTAGTGGTGTAACGGGCCAGGCCCTGGCCCAGGTGGTCTGCAGGGGTGATCTCGCCTCGCCCTTACTCCACCTACAAGGCAGGTGCTTTCCCTGCCCCCTCTTTCCCCCTGACCCTTTGTTTGTGCCCAACCCTACCCCACAGTGTTAGCCCTGTGCATAGCGATCCCCTCAAGCCCCCCAGGCTGTGCCACCCTTGAGGGCTGGGCCCCTGCCCCCTCCCCTCTGTCTCCTGGGTTGCTCACCTGAGGGCCTGGACGAGGTTGAGGTTGGCGAACTCGTGGCAGTCCACAAAGGCCTGGAGGACCTGCAGGTTGACAGGGTCCCTGGGAAGAGGAAGAGAGAGGCTGCTTTGTGCTCTGTCCCTTTGGGGTGGGACACCCTTGGAATTTGCTGGCACCTACCTCCTGGAGGGGGGAGCAGGGAGGAGGGGGAGAACAGGAGTGATGTCTGCTCTTTGGGGGTCCAGCCACCACGTGCTCACATCTGTCTGTTCTGCACTTCACAGCGCTGCGTGCACACACATATATCCTCCTTCATGTGTGCAGACCCCCACCTACCCAGGACTGCTCACCGGAACTGGTCTGGCCCAGGCAGGAGCACTGCCTTTGGAGTCATTCTTCCCTGAATTCAAACCCTTCCCCTGTTACTTCCTACCTGGGTGACTCCACTTAAGCCACTTGGCCTCCCCAAACCCCCACCTCCTTCTCTGTAAAATGGAAACAACCAGGGCTACCCCCTTGTCCTCCCACTCCCCGCTTCTAAGCCAGGAAGGGCACTCCTCTTGCCACCTGCACTTCCTGCTCACCCAGGGAGAAGGATGGGTCCGCTGAGAGCCTGGGAGAAGGGTTACTGACTCCCTGGCCCAGCCCTGCCCATAGCGAGACATGCCTGCCCCCTGCTCTGCCTGGGAGATAGGCTTATTCAGGGCAGAAGAACAGGAAGCACAAGTGGTCCAGGGCGGCTGGGCCAGGCTCCAGTCCTTCAGCAGGAACAAAGGAAGATCTGGCCAGATGCTCCTCTCCCCTCCGCTACCACCATTGAGGCCCAGGCCACCAGCATCGCTCACTGGGTGGCTGCAATGGCCTCCTCTCTGGTCTCCCTGCTTTGTCCTTGTTGCCTGTAGAACCCACACCTCACCAAGCAGCCAGACCAGTCCTGCCCAGAACCTTCCATGGCTCCTCAGTGACATCACTAGGGAGGTGTGGGGGGTATGGACCACACCAGGTGATGCTTTCAGAGGGAGAAACACCAAAATGACTGTCTACAAAATTTTTGTTCTGTGTTTCAGCAGGAATTGATGATTTTTAATAAAAATATCCCTGTAGTTAGCTTACATGTATCACTACACCTATGAGGCTAAAACTCTACACTAATTTTCTTTTTGAACCTTCTAAGGAGCTCTGGTAGCGTAGTGGCTAAGGCACTTGACTGCAAACCAGAAGGCTGGTGGTTCGAACCCACCAGCCACTCCACGGAAGGAAGATAGAGCAATCTACTTCCATAGTGATACTGCCTTGGAAACCCAAGGAGAGGTCGCTATGAGTTGGGTCTGACTCGACAGCACATAACAACAACAATGAACTTGGATCAGACCTGTCATTGTTACCTAATTACAATGAGTCTTTGAGTCACGTGGTTTTGTAGCCCACACTACTGTTTCCGTTGCTGCTAATGTTTTAATAGTTGCCGATTTTGTCAAATTTTTCTACTGTTTTAGCTACAGTATTATGGTAATTAGTATCTGTGAACCTGTATCAATAACTTATTTTTTTGAGAATGAAGTAGTAATTAAAGGGAAAAAAAGTTGGAAACCAAACTCACTGCTGTGGAGTCGGATCCAACTCATAGTGACCCCTCCTTGGGTTTCTGAGGCGGTATCACTTACTTACGAGAAGTGACTGGTGGGTTTGAACCACCAGCCTTTTGGTTAGCAGTCAAATGCTTTAGGCATTATGCCACCAGAGCTCCACTAAAGGAAAAGAAGAAGAAAAATAAAAAAAGGCTTTTGCTCAGTTACAAATAATGTTGTGATTCAATGTACAAAATTTCACAAAACAATTTTCTTTTAGTATTCACATATAATCTGAGGCATACTACATTAAGCAATTTTGCAACTGCTATTCTATGACTAAAATTGATAATAAACATTACTAAGGATTCTGTAGGGTCTGGTACTGGAGGAAGTCCATGGAGCTGGGGGTGAAACCATGAGTTATCATGCTGGGTGACACCAACCCTAGTAGTGACACGGTGAATCCCCACTCTATCTCCCCTCCTTCTTTCCTCCCTCACTCCATCTGGTGTGTCCTGGGTATGTGCCAGCCTCTGGGCCTTTGCACTGGCTGTTCCTCTGCCTGGAACACTCATCCTCCGTCAGCCACGTGGCTTCCCGCCTCACCTCCTGTACATTTCAGTCAAACACCATCTTCTCCATGAGACCTTTCTTGTCCACAGCCCCCTGCTTCATTTTTTTTAAAAATCCCATCAAACCCAAATCACAATTAATAATAATAATAATAAACATCCACAGAAGCTATAGTTTTCTAACACCTTTTATGCATTATGGGATCTGTCTTCTTGACGGTATGGGCCTTCCCAAGGATAAGAGTTTGTTTGTCTCTTGTTCATTGGTGCCAATCCAGGGCTTAGGACAGTCCCTGGCACACAGCAGATATGAAAAAAATATGTACGTGTTGAATGAATGAGTGAATGGAGGAAGGAATGAATGGAGAAAGGCAGGCTGGCTTTGGTTCAGAATTTGGAAAGGGGTGACCAGTTAGTTCCCTCAGGCCCCAAGAGTTATGATTTTCCTGACATCATTCCAGAAGGTTGGCGGTTCAAACCCACTAGCCACTCTGTGGAAGGAAGACTGGGCAATCCACTTCCATAAGGATTTACCACCTTGGAAACCCAAAGGGGATCACTATGAGTTGGAATCAATTTGATGGCAGTGAGTTTGTTTTTGGGGAACATCATTCCCTCCCTCACCTACACACACACACACACACACACACACACCCCACATGCCTACCTACGTCTATTGTTGTTGTTATTTGCCATCGAGTTGGACCCGACTCATAGCGACCCCTCCTTGGGTTTCCAAGGCAGTATCACTACAGCAGATTCCCTGCCTCCCTCTTTTCCTTCTTTGTAATTTATGTTTTGTTTTTGAGAATGCAACTATATTTACCACATGTTATTCACATGTTGAGAATATACACAGCAGGCACACACAGAAGTTCAAGTTTTTCCATGTACAATTCGGCGACATTAATAATGTTCACCAAGTTATGCAACCATTTGCACCCTCCTTTTCCGAGTTGCTTCTCCCTCATTAACATAACTCACTGCCCCCTGAGATCCCTATCTAATCTTTCAGTTGCAGTTGTCAACTTATTCCAATGAGATAGATCTTAAAAGACCGTTAAGTCAGACATTCTTGGCTAGCGAAGCTAAACTATTATTTGGTGTTAAGAAGACTTCAGGGGATATTTCTGGTGTAAGGTTTAAAGATTATCTCAGGGCAATAGTTTCGGGGGTTCATCCAGCTTGCATGGCTCCAGAAAGTCTGGATTCCACAGGAATTTGAAATTCTGTCCTATACTTTCCTCCTTTTGATCAGGATTCTTGTATGAAATAGGCCCTGCTTCTTCTTAAGGCTCTTTCGTTCTTACCTCTCCCCCAAGTAGACACCTATGGTTGTCTTGTTGAGGCCTTCGCCTTTGTAGAGAAACCGGGCGATGTCCTGGACGTCAGGCGTCAGTAGCTTGTGTTCAATGAGGTACTGGATGCCCTGTAGGAGGGACACAGAACTGGTGAGCAGCCCCTGCACAGCAGCTGGCCTGGCAGGAAGAAGGGAGGAGCCCATGGGGTCAGAGCCCACAGCCTGTTCTGGGAAGCTGTGTCCTTTAATAGAAGCATCTTAGAAGTTGCTTTTGCAAGGTGATGAGTTCCCTGTCACTGGAGGTGTGCAAGCAAAGGTAGCGTTCCTACATTAAACTAGGCTCATGCCAGGTACTCCCCTTTAGCCTGACATTCTTTGATGGCATGCGTCAGTGAGTCTATTAATTGATAATTTTAAGATTCAGTGATTCAGGCGTTCCTTTTATCTTCGTAAAATTTATATTATTTTAAAATAATACTTCATTTTTTTCACACAAGTAATCTATGTCCATTGTATAAAAATTAGTAAAAAACCAGCTGAATCAAAAGGGGAGGCAATTGCCCAAATCCCACCCCTTGGAGAGAGACTGTCTCTCATTGCGGGGACATGTCTTTCCTTCTACGTGGAAACGGGAGCAGAGCTGCTGGCACCTTGAAACCTGCTCTTATGATCTGACAGCATCACCAAAGTCTGTCCCCACCACCCAGGCACTGGGGCCCAGTCATTCTAATGTTAGGAGCTTGAGAGGCTGGTCTCACATCCTTGTTCCCTTTAGAGAGGAGGCTGCTGGAAGGTGGGGGCAGGGCTGGAGGGCCCTGAGTGACAGGCTGAGGATGAGCTGGGAACCTTTAGCAACTGTGGACCTTTAGCACGTTTAGCAGGTGAGGACCCATGAGTGTGTAGACGAATGGCCCTCATGTGGATAAGGGGTGTCTGAGGGTCTGTGGCTTGGGACGGGGTGCTGTGGGTCTGTGATGGGCAGGGGAAGCCCCGCCTTCTAACCAGAGCGGTAAGTTTCCAGCGACCCCAGTGTGGCTGGCTGTGTTGACACCACTTCTGAGTATCCAGCATGTGGCTTCCTCTTGTCTCCAACTAGAGGAAATGGAGCCTGGCTGCCACCTCGCTGGGTGAAGGGTGGGTTGGCCTGTTCACAGGCTGTGGGGTAAGGGCAGAGGCGGGCAGACTGGTAGCTGAGCCCTGAGCCCACATGATTCCCACCAGTGGAGGGGACACAGGAGGGCTCTATAGGACTGGTCCCCAGCCTTAAAACCCATCCTGGAGACTGAACCCCAGAATCTAAGGGCTTCAATGTTCAGAGAGGAAGAGGTAGAGGTCCTGAGAGGGCCAGGGACTTGACTACGTTCTGGTGGCGTAGTACCTAAGGCATTTGACTGCTAACCAGAAGGCTCGTGGTTCAAACCCACCAGCCACTCCTCAGAAGGAGGATTGGGCAATCTACCTCTGTAGAGATACTGCCTCAGAAACCCAAGGAGGGGTCACTATGAGTCAAATCGACTCGATGGCAGTGACTTTTTTTTTTTTTTAAATGGACACCATAGACTCACCCCAACCTCCTGTTCCCACCTCTTCTCTGGGGATGCTGTGCTGTGGAGAGCAGACTGAGCCCCTTGCCTCTGACTGGCCATGCAGCCTGGTGGACCTCAGTTTCCTCATCTGGAAAGTGAACTACTGTATCAACTGAGGGGACCAAGAGGAGGCTGTGAAAGTACCCAGCATGCAACTGCCTCCAGCCCTGGCTCAGGCCCCGCCTCTGGCCCGGGCCCTGCTCTGCCTACCTTGCTGGGGTCCATGTTGAATTTCTTGCGTCCGATGCACAGCTCCTTCTTCTTCTGGGCCATCCGGCTGTGGACACAAGGATGTCAGCCGGGATCGCCCTAGGACCCCCAGTATGGCCCCTTCCTGCCCCAAGAGGCCTCCAAGTGGGGCGCCCAGGCCCTGCATTGGAAGCACCCGGGAGAGCATGAAAAATGCTGAGTCTGGAACTCTCCCCAGAGCTATAATCAGACTCTTCTGGGCGGACCCAGCACCGGATTTTCACCTGCACAGATACTGCCCTGGGGCCCAGAGAGCATTTGGATGTGTCTTGAGCTTGGAGTGGGGGCAAGATAATGGGGAGGCCTGGTGAAAGCATAGCTTTGAAGCCAGACTCATGTGTGTAGCTCCCGGCTCCACCATTTACTGGCTGAGTGACTCTGGACCTCAGTTTCCTCATCTGTGAAATGGGAACAAGCCCAGCTCCTGCCTCACAGCATTGTTGGGAGGTGAAAGTCCTGAAAACAGCTGGTAGTAGGTGTTTCGTGTTATGTTATTGTTGCTGGGGTCAGGATAGGGAATGTGGGGACATATGTCATAGGTGTGTGTGTGTGTGTGTGTGTGTGCGCGCCAGGGGGAAGAAAGGGGGGCATCAGAGGCATAGAAGAGCTGAGGGATGGTAGGGGTGGGTGGGTATGAAAAGGTTTCTTGGGACCACAGATGTGGGACAGCACCAGGGGGGTTGTGTGTGTGTGGGTCATTGCACAAATGGGGAAACTGAGGCCCAGGGAGGGGAAGGGATCAGCCCAGGTCCTGAAGCCTTTGAGCCTTCCCATGTGAGGGGCAGGGTGCCTGCTCCCTGTGGGTGGGCAGGGCGGCCCAGACTGCCCACTTACTGTTACTGTGTGCTATGGGGTCGATTCCGACTCACAGCAACTCTAGACTGAACAGAGCAGAACTGGCCCATATGTTGCCTAGACTGTAATGTTTACACCATGCAGGTTGCCAAGACTTTCCCTCATGGAGCAGCTGGTCACTAGGGCTCCTTCTGCTCCCAGTAGACGCTGGCTTTCCTTGTCAGTCCTGCGGCTGAGCTTGCCTTCCAGTGATTGGTCAGGGGCTGGGCCAAGGGGTGGTGTGGGGAGACTTTGGGTGGAGGGGGTGGGAGAGTGGGCTTGTCTCTCAAGAAAGTGGGGCTGCGTGAGCATCAGGACCAGCTTACAGGGATGGAGCCACGGGGCTGTCCGTTCCTGCCTGCAGCTGCTGCCTCCTCCTCCAGAGCTGATCCCCGATTTCACCGGGACTCAGGACCCCTGCTTACTTGTGGGGCATGATATCCTTGGTCAGTGACAGAGGGCTTCCTGGGGTCCCTGCCCACCTGGCTGCTCACCTCTCCTCTGCACTTTCGAAGCAGTCGATCTGGGCAAACACGTCAGCTATCTCGTCCTTCAGCTTCTGTGGGGTGGCAGGAGGCCCGCCGGAGAGGGCCAGTCAAGGGGTGTAGGCTGGGGAAGGGGCTGCATCTACTCCCACCCCCTGGCGTGACCCCCAAACAGCCTCTCTCCCCGACCTCTGTCCTGAACCCTCAGCCTGAGGGACCCTCCCCTGACAGACCCTCCCTCTCCTGTCTCCTTCCCTTCTCACACTGCCAAAGATCCAAGCAAACTCGTTCCTCATGGACTCCTGTCTAGGGAGTGCGCTGTCCCGAAGTGGGCTTACCCTCAAGCTCCCCAGCCCCATACCCCACACCTTGGGATTCTACCTCAGAAACCTCTCCCCCTCCCTTTCCAATCCCATCCCAACAAACACTTCTTCACTCACTTGCCATCTTTCTGAAGCAAGTGAGTTAAATCGAGTCAATGGCAGTGAGTTTGGTTTTTTTTTTTTTCCAGTGGACACCATAGACTCACCCCAACCCCTGCTCCCACCTCTTTTCTGGGGATGCCGTGCTGTGGAGAACGGACAGAGCCCCTTGCCACTGACTGGCCATGCAGCCCAGTGGGCCTCGGTTTCCTCATCTGGAAAGTGGGCTGAAGCACAGGTTGGAGTCTACCCTTGCCCTGTGTGTACTCCGTCTATGGCTCCCTACTGCCTCTCCATCAGGAGCACAGATGCTTGCCTATGGTAGGCCCCAGGTCCCCTCTGATTTCCCTCCATTCATCCATTCATTCTTTAGCTCAGCATTTACCAAGTGCCGGGTGCTGTGGGTTTGCCAGGGCACTAGGCAGCACAGCCTCTTCTGGTGGAATTTACAGAAGAGGAAACTGAGGCTCTGAGAGGTGAACTGATGAGCCCAGCATCTGGCCCTGCTCTGCTCCAAGCCTGTTTGTCTTGGCTCCTCCCTCATCCTGCCAATAACTATCACAGGGCAGACTGGGAGAGCTGGCAGGTCGTCTGGAACCTCCCTGTAGGGCAGCGGCAGGAGCACCCAGCACTCCCACCCTGGATCTGTGGGATGCTGGCATGGGGGTGGTGTGGGGCCTCTCCTGAGACCCAGGGCCAATGAGGAGCCCGACAGGCTGTATCTGACCTTGGTCAGCTCCTGTCTGTGTGATCTTGGCTGAGTCACTGAGTGGCTTCTCCATAAATAAAATGGGGTTCACTGTGTCTTGTTGGACTGGAGATATAGTGATGGGTGAGACCCCATGGAGCTCATAGTCCAGTGGGGCTGGGATGGCACTGGTGGTCATGGGGCAGTTGAAACTGTGTGTGTGTGAGAGAGAGTAATTGTGTGTGTGAGTGTGTGTGTGTGAAGGGGGTCACTGCAGCACTTAGGATGGTCAGGGTGGCCTCACTGAGGAGGTGATAGTTGAGCTGGGAATGAAATAAAGAGAAGAACTGGCCATAAGGAGAGCTGGGGGAAGAGTCACAGGCCGAGGAGATGCAAGTGCCAAGGTCCAGTGGCAGGACTGAGCCTGGCCTGTGCCAGGGAGGGGCCAGGGCCTGTTTCAGAGGCTGTTGCCAAGCAGATGCACCCACATCCCAGAACCTGACTGGTGAGTGGCAAGTCTGGGCACGTGCTGGGTCTAAATATTCAGGAGGAGGAAGCTGAAGCCCAGCGTGGGGATGAGATGTGCTGGAGGCCACACAGCTGAGACTGGAACCTGCCATACGACGAAGTGTGTAAAGCCCAGGTAGGTACGTGGTAGGTGCTTAACTGGGACTCCCTTCTTCCCTCTACTGGTTCAGCTGGCTCGCTCTGGGTCCTGGCAGCCCGGGAGTGGGGAGTCCCCCCTCTGCGTTTGTGTTGTGTTTGTGAGCGTGTGTGTGGTCAAGAGTGTGTGTCAGGACAAATGTGTGTGTGAGCGTGTGTGTGGATGTGAGCATGAGTTTGTGTGTGTGTGTGGTCTGAGGGTGTGTTAGCATTAACATGTGCTTGTGAGTGTGTGAGCCTGTGTGTGGATATGAGCGTGAGTGTGTGAGCTTGTAAGCATGTGTGTGGATGTGAGCATGAATGTGTGAGCATGTGTGTGACCTGAGGGTGTGTCAACATGAACACATGCTTGTGAGTATGTGTGTGGATATGAGCATGTGTGTGTGTGAGAGTGTGTGTGGCCTGAGGAGGTGTCAGTGCAAACACATGCATGTGCATGTGTGTGGATGTGAGCATGAATGTGTGAGCATGTGTGTGACCTGAGGGTGTGTCAACATGAACACATGCTTGTGAGTATGTGTGTGGATATGAGCATGTGTGTGTGTGAGAGTGTGTGTGGCCTGAGGAGGTGTCAGTGCAAACACATGCATGTGCATGTGTGTGGATGTGAGCATGTGGTGTGCGTGTGAGTGTGTGCATGTGCCCGCACCTGGATGTCCTCCAGAAGCTGCTTCCGGTGCCATTTGATCCGCTGTAGCTCCTCTGTCTCCCCACTGCTCAGCTCCACTGGGTCTAGAGAGAGAAGAACCGGCAGGTCACCAGCTTCATTCACTGCCCTCTGTCCATCCCTTGCTCCATCCACACTGTCATGCTCTCATCCTCAGGACTTTTGTCTTTGCTGTTCCCTCTCTCTGAGTCACTCTTCTCTCCAGAGACCCCTGACTTGCCTGCCCTCTTAACTTGGGCCCAGGAGCTCAGATATCACCTCCTCCAAGAAGTCTTCCCTGACCATCCTGTCTAAAGCAGTCTGTACCCTTTCCCTTCAGCCCATCGCCCTGTGTGAGTGTCTTCTGCCTCTCTAGATACAGAAGCCCTGCAATGACCTCATTTACTTGCCTCTTTCCTGTGTCTCTCCTTAGACTTTCTGCTCCATGAGGCCAGGCACTTCAACCATTGTGCCCAGTGCTGCATCTCCCAGCAGCCAGAAAGAGCTGGCACATAGTAGGTACTCAATAAAATCCTCACTAAAGTGCTCAGTAAAGTGCTAAATGATTTGGGGCATTTATTCCTCACTGGACCTTAGTTCACTCCTTCAGTGGCTTGCACATCTCCTATCCTATTTATTTGCATGCCCAGGAAGTGTCACACCATTGTGCATCACAGTCTCTCGGCCAAATTTAGCCACAGGGCCACACCTAGCCGCAAGGCGTCTGGTAAATGAACCTTTCATTTGTTGTCCTGAGTTCCTGCACAATTCCCTTCCTATGGAAGATGGGGAGGCTAGATTTTGGAGGACACTTTGTAGTGTTTTCCCCAGACACTGAGGCTTAGGGTGGTGAGGTGACCTGGCCAAGGTCCCCCAGGGACGGAATGGTGATGCCTGAATGGGATCTTGGATTGGACTCATCTGAGAACCTGTGCTCTTCACCTGCCGATGAATGAATGATATACATGTGTGCTGCTGTTCTGTGTAAGATGCTATGATGATTCCCACACCTCCACCCCACAGCTTGGCTTCTGTTCTGTCCACAAAACTATCCTGGTCAAAATCTCCACAGATTATTCTTACTTACTGGGAAAAGTCCTCATCAAGGCCTGGGAACCTCCATAATCCCCTAGGCACCTCAGCCAGCCTCATTCTCCACCATCCTCAACAAAAGCCTTCAGGTCCACGAGTAGTTGAACCTGTGGGCTCGGGACCATAGTCACAGGGGACATCAAGCTCAATTGGCATAACATACTATATAAAACATTGTTCCACCTCCTACTTTGGCGAGTAGCAACTGGGATCTTAAAAGCTAGCAAGCTGCCATCTAGATGCAATGATGGGTCTCTCCTCGTCCAGAGCAAAGAAGAATGAAGAAAACCAAAATTCATGGAAACGATTAGTCCTAGCAACTGGTACACCATCCGGTCTGCAGCCTATACGACTATGAGACCAGAAGAACTAGATGGTGCCCAGCTACCACTGTCATCCACTTGAAAGGGGATCTATGTAGGAGATCCTTGATAGAGAGGGAGAACAATGTGGAATAAAATGCAAAATCATTTGGAGAAAAAAGGAAAAAAACAGGGGTGGACCAGCTTTACTGGACCGATAGAGCCTGGTGGAACCACTGAGACTATGGCCTCTAGCTGCCCTTCAGATTTGGAATTGAACCCACACCTGTGGTTTCCAGCCAAACAAAAGACAGGCATATGAGTTGAACATTTACCTCAAGTAGATATACTCCTTGGAGAGAACAATCA